GGAGGAGGGGAGGGGAAGGGGGAGGAGGAGAATAATCTTGCCTACCACAGGGGATCTAGGCATTAGCTGATGAGGAAATGGAGGCTCGAATAGGGTGCTTGCCTGTCCATGTCACCTGGGCAGATATGATCTCCAAGCCTGCACTCTGGGACAGGACAGCATCTGTGTTGGGATTGAGGAATCTGAAGAGATCCCTCTTAGTGTCCAGATACAGGGCTATTGGATGAGGCTTGGAGATAAATAGTTCTGGGGACAACGGAGTATCCCTCCCCCAACACACACACACAGAGCAATGAGGGACAGGGACACACACAGGCACTAGGCTCACCCTCTCTGGCCCTGACCACACTTCTGACTCAGTGGTCCCACCCCACCCGCATGACCACAGTGGAGTCAGGAGAGAGGGTCTGGCAAGGGAATCCCTGGGCTGGAGTCCAGGTGGGGTCCCTGGCCCCAGAAATGGTTGTAATCTCTGCTCATGGCCACCAGGATCAGACAGGGGGCTGGGCCATCACAGGGGGTGGGTGGCAGTGGGAGGAGAGTCCAAAACATCCTGAAAACTGTAACCTCACCCTATCATCTGTTGTCCAGATGTGACATTTGAGGCTGGGATCCCTATCAGGCTCCTAGGCGCTGGGAATTCTGAAGTCTGTGGTGGCAAATCACTGACTAGATGGCAAGACTCCTGGGGCAGGCTTCCTGTAGAACTGGACCCTGAATCACCCGAATGTGTGCCCCACAGAGCTGTGGCAGGGGATGCTCTAGAACAGGGGTCCCAACCACCAGGCGTGAGGAACTGGGCCGCACAGCAGATGAGTGGGGGGGCAAGTGAGAGAAGCTTCCTCTGTATTGACAGCTGCTCCCCATGGCTCCCATTACCACCTGAGCTCCGCTTCCCGTCAGTTTCCTGTCAGTCCACTTCCTGACGTCCCCTCCCGAAGGCGGCCATGAGCCTTGGGATGGGACATCACTAGAGGAACTTCAGGCCCTATTTTCGGAGGAAGCAGTTGGAGACCCCATAGGAGGAAGGGGGATGGGGCAGTAAAAAGTCGCGGTGTCCCCTGTCCCCGTCCCCATCCAGCATCTGCGCGCCCCGCTCTTCTTGGAGACGCTAGATCAGTCCCTTGGGCCCTACTAAAGAAACCACGCAGGGCTCAGATTTTCTCCATCATCATCATCATCATTATCTCCAGGTTTATTTCCAGCTCCGCCCCCACCCCGCCAGACCTGGAGCAGCCTCCGCCCGCGCTGGGCACGCGCTGCGCTCGACCTCAGAACCGCAGACGACAGCAGCGCGCTCCGGTCCAGTCCATGCCCGCGCACTGGCAGTGGCATGTCGTCTCGGCGCGCACGTCCCACGAGCCACAGGCGGAACCACATGTGCAGCTGGTAACGGCGAAGCCTGCAGCCCGGAGCAGGGGAGCTTAGACTCGGAGCTGGAGTCCTGGGGGTGGGAGCTGGGGGCGAGGACGGCTGGAGGCTCCAACTACTCCAGTGCCCGTGGAGCTCCAGGGGCACTGGAGGCAGGAGTTAGGGTGAACACCAGTGTCCAGATGGTGGGTGGAGAAGGCTGGGAGTCAGGACCAGGATCCTAGGGGAGTAGAGGCTGGACTTGGGGAACGTGGCGGGGAGGGGCATTCCCGGGGGCTTGGAACAGAGATGGGCGCCTTGACAACAGGCTTCTGCACTCACTTTGGGGGCAAGTAGCCAGGTCCCCCCTGGAGGTGACGCTCTGGCACTCCAGGCCAATGCTCGTTATTGCCTTAAATACTGCAGGAGGGAGAGAGGAAGGAGGGGCTGTGAGACTAAACGGCCCCTCCCCCATCCTCCCGCTACTCGCGCCCTGGCGGTTTGGAGCTGGGTCCCTGCGGGCATAGGCGCTCACTAGCCTCCAGGATCCTGTCTTGACTTGGGTGTTTTGGAGTAAGGAAAGATTTGGGGTGAGATGGGGATTGGGTTTGGAGGTGTGGATAAAGGTGGGGACCGGGCAGGGAGGGGTTGGAGTGGAGCTGGGGTTGAATTTATCATCTGGTTGGATTTGAGGATGAGATTTGGTGAGCGCTG